GTTGTTGCCAGCCCTGACACCGAACGCCTATCCTCAGCGTCGGCGTAGCTAGCGTCCACGTACACCGCCAGCCCCAACCCCGATCCCCGTTTGTAGGTGATCCCGAGGTCCCTCGTCTCTTTGAGGTAGGCGAGGATCTTTACGATGGCCTTCCAGTGCCTCTCGGCAGGGGCATGGGCGTGGCGCGCTACCGCACGCACGGCGAACGAGATGTCCGGGCGCGAGAACGTCGACACCCACATCATGCTGCCGATGGCCTCCCTCACCGGCCNTCGACACCAGGGGAAGCAGGGATGGAGGAGGTCGACTGCACATCAAAGCGATTCACGATGCTGTCAATGTACGCGGTTTGGGAGATTCTAAGGGTCCCAGCCTCTAGGTCTCTCTCGACGGCACACCCGTCGAACCACACGCACTCTCCAAGGTCTTTGGTGGGGAATGCCTTGTCGAGGGAATCAAGCAACTCCTTGCAATCATCATCAGACCCAGCAACCAAAAGGTCATCCACATAAATCACGATAATCATCACCACGACATCGTCTTTCATCTTGCGGAAGACGCACGGGTCAGCCTTGCACTGCTCGAACCCGTTTTCTACAAGAGTATCGGCAGCGTGGTACCCCCACTGCCTGCCGCTCTGCTTCAAGCCGTAAATAGCACGCTCAGCCTTCACAACTTTGTGGGATTTTTCCCCGCACCCCGCGGGGAGCCTCAGAAACACATCCTCGTCCAACTTAGCGTGTGTAAACGCCTGCTTGACATCCCAGTGGTTGAGTTTCAGCGATTTCTCGTTGGCTACCGCGAGCATCAGTTTATTGGATGCGGATGATGGGCAAGGGGAGGATGAGTGGAAGTAGTCCACGTTCGGGGGATGCGGNCTCTTGGCGCGCGATGTTGGCCTTCTCCGCGCGCTCGCACAGCAGCGCTTGCACTGCCCTCGCCTCTAGCTTTTTCACCACGTCGACCACACACGCGAGCATCCAGCGGGTGTGCTCCTCCGTGCTGTTGATGGGCAGGATGGGCAGCCCCGCCGCCGACGCATGGCGGGCGAGCAGGCCTTCGGCACTCGTTGGAGACGGCGACGACTCGTACCTCGTGTTCCGGCGAGGGTTCTCCCTGAGTCGGCGGCTGGTGAGCTCCGCCGGCTCGCCAAAGCGGGCGAGCTTCCCTCGGGCCCGCGGAGCGCCGGGATGTCCGTGTCGCTGCCGTGTCGCTTAGTGGAGGGTCGGATGTGGAAGTGCGGACGAACATTATTTTCTAGAACCATCTAGAGGGATCGTTTGGCTCTCACCTGGCTCTGCAACAACCCCGCCCTGTTGTTGAGCCACACGGCAAGATCTGGATGCTCCGGACCCAGGGCTTTCTCTCCGATTGCGATAGCCCTAACATACAACGGTTCCGCCTCGCTGTACTTGCCCTACAACGCGAGGGAACAGCAAGGTGGGGGCGTGCTCAAGTTTGAAAAAAACATTGCGGCGGAACAAATGCTTAACAACCACGCCCGGTTGTTGAGTCGGGTGGCAAGGGCTGGCTGGGTGTTCAGGGCCTAGCGTCTTCTCCCCAATCTCAATAGCTCGCAGATAGAGAGGGTCGGCTTCGTCGTGCTTGCCCTGTGTACGAAGCAGTGGGGCGGTGTAAGCGACTGGGCGAGAGAGAACCAAACTCTCAAATCAAGTGTGAACCCTACGGAAAATCTTGGAAAATTCTCACGGCTCTCACCTGGCGCTTCAACAACCCCGCCCGGTTCTTGAGCGCTGTGGCCACGTTCGGGTGGTCAGCACCCAACGCTGTCTCCAAAACCTCGGTCGCCCCCTCCCCCTGTTGTTGAACACTGCCGAAATCCATCGGGTACCACAAGAAAATTCCTGGAAATTTCTGATGGCTCTCACCTGCGCTCTCAACAACTCCGCCCGGTTGTTGAGCCTTGTGGCAAGATCTGGGTGGTCGGGGCCCAGCGTTTTCTCTCCGATCTCAATAGCTCGAAGAAACAGAGGGTCTGCCTCAGCATACTTCCCCTGGAAGCGGAAAGCAAACGCCACGTGAGAAACCGTCATGCGAGTGTGGTCAAAGACAAAACAAAATAGTAATGGCGGGGGGAATATCTGTCGACAACCCCGCCCGGTTGTTGAGCGCTGCTGCCATGTTCGGGTGCTCAGGACCTAACGCTGTCTCCAAAGTCTCGGTCGCCCGCCTGTACAGAGGCTCGGCCTCGGCGAACTTACCCTGAGACGTGAAGGGCAAGCACGTCAGAAGTGTGGTCAATGCTAGCGGGGATTGACAACGGGCTAACAATTGCTCAACAACCCCGCCCTGTTGTGGAGCACTGCCGAAATCTATCAGGTACCACAAGAAACTTCTTGGCATTTTCTGATGGCTCTCACCTGCGCTCTTAACAACTCCGCCCGGTTGTTGAGCGTTGCGGCTAGACTTGGGTGCTCAGGGCCTAGAGCCTTCCCCTTCATCGCCTGACACCGGTCATAGAGTGGCTCAGCTTCCGAGTATTTGCCCTGGATGCAGTGAGGATAGCGTGATGAGTCGTGTTTCAGCGTGAAAATCGTAAATGGGATTGTGGAGAAACATTTTCTCAACAACCCCGCCCGGTTGTTGAGCGATGCGGCCACATCAGGGTGCTCTGGGCCCAGCACCTTCTCTCTGATGGCCTGTGACCGCTCATGCAGCGGCTCAGCTTCCGAGTATTTGCCCTGGATGCAGTGAAGACAGCGTGGTGGAGTCGTATTTCAGTGTGAAAGTCGTAAATGGGATTGTGGAGAAAAAGTTCTCAACAACCCCCGGTTGTTGAGCGACGTAGCCACATCCGAATGCTCCGGACCCAAGATCTGCTTTTGTGTAGCCTGTGCTCTCTCATAGAATGGTTCGCCCTCGATGAACTTGCCCTATGCGAACATCAGTGCGTCGTTATACGGCAGTGGTTCACGCAGAATGCACAAAAAACAAACAAGACCATACGTAGACACTTTCTTACCAGAGCTCCTGGGACCAACGACAGCCACCTGCTACCTAGAGAAAGCCCGTTTACTGAATGCGCTCATTCTTTGCCAGGTGTACGCAAGTCCCCTCACCGAGATGAAAGCCCTCGCGAACAGATTCCCTATCCAGAGCTGCGAACGAGTGTGTCATGGAACGCCTCGAAAATCCAATTGTTTACCAGGCCGAGTGAGTAGAAACCCGCACGGGTACTGCGCCATCACACCATTGTAAGCACAACGAATGCGGAACAGCAGTGCAGAATCCTCAATAAAAATATGTGCCGTACCTGAATGAACAAAAAACCGACAGACGAGTAGGAACCAGCCACATCCGTAGTTGCCTCGCACGACTCCAACTCCCCAAGGCTGGTGCCATACGAGGCGACCTCCAGTTTGGAGTTTCCCGAGAGCTATTCCACCGAGCGCCAGAGGGCATCCAAAACGAACAAGCCTTGGTTGCCAGGACCATGCTCTGGATTATCAAAACCCCTCAGCACATCCAGTCTTCCAAGAAAATGCGCCTGAAGCGCGGTAACCAATCGTACCATCTCCACGTCTGCCTTGACCTTGATCTTCACGAAGTCCAGAACGAGGTCATGTACGCGATACCCACCACCACCACCCACATCTTGCAGCAGGCTCTTGCTCGTTAAACCGTCAGCTTCCTCTCGCGCACCCTTGTTGTCCTGCGAATTAAACAACATGGAGGACATGATCGACGTCAGCCCACAGGACACAAAGAAGCGCAGAGGAGTAGCGCTTGTCCAACCTTTCACGCAATCCACACAACGCGTCTATCCTCCAATAGGCATTCATCTGCAAACAAAACACCCAGGTAAGGATGACGCCGCAACGCACCTCGGTCTCCCACAGGTTTCGCAGCATCGCGATCGGCGCAACAGCACCCGGCGCCAACACAGCCATCTTGAGAAACTCCTTCCGCTTCTTGGCTGCCAAAGCACTGAAGCTGGCCCCAAGGACCATATCCAGCGATGTCGCCTCTAGTCCCGACTCCCACATCATCGTCGCCGTGTTCTCGAAGAGCTTGATCAGCTCTTCCCAGGCGCCGGCGGTCAAGCCTCTCCCTTCAACGACGGACATGGAACCCGCGATGGCGAGCATCAGCGGCAGGCGTCCACAGCGCTCAACAACCTGGATCGGTGATTGTTGGGAGTTGAGTTGACAAAAAACGCGGACAATGCGAAATAACCAGCACGCAACAACGGCACTTCGTGTCTACTAGCCCCATCAACTTTAAGGAGGATGATCGTCATGTGGTGTGAGACAATATCCAGGAACAACGTCGACACACGATCAGGCGCTATACCCCTCCCCCGTGGGAATATCGCTAGCAACAGGGCCGTTTCATCACCGAAGATGAACTTCGTACCACATCCACGGAATAATTGCGAATGAGAGGTGGTGGTAAACTACAACACGGTTCAAACCTATGTACCTGATGCTTGTTTCGACCACCTGTGTACACTCAAAGGCCAAGCCGCCAATCGATGCCACACTCAGCATCAGGTGGCACAAAAACAAGGGAGGAAGTCTCAACCCATGCGCTAGAGATACAACACCTCGACGAAAGATTCAACGCATATCATCACCTTGGTCATCTGTGTCCGGACAGCGTCCCCAGGCCGTCCCGCAGTCCCGCTCGTCTTCAGCAGCAGCTCGAGCGCCTCTTCCTCCGTCGTGTCTCCCAGCTCCAAGCATCGCGCCGGCACACCAACAACCGACCGATCACGTGTGGTCACCAGGCTGCCGTTGATGCATACGAGGCTTACCACTCAAACATGGAGAAGCTCAAGAGTTTTGGCCAGAAAAAGTGGAAGAAGAAGAAGAAGAAGAAGAAGAAGAAGAAGAAGAAGAAGAAGAAGAAGAAGAAGAAGAAGACCAACAACCAAGCGACGAAGGAAGAGAGGCTCAAGCCTAAGAGGAAGGATTTGTCGCGTGTATGGGAGATACTATTTTTGCTTTCCTGAAAAGGTCGACGGTCGTCCCTACATGAGGGGGTCAACCGGAAAGTCTCAACAGACCCAGGGGTGAGGAAGTTCATGGCGTCACCGAGCAGTCCGACATCCCTCCTCAAGTCGAGTACCACGAAGACTTGAAAGTGATCGCGCTTGATCCCGGAGTTAGGACGTTCAACACCGGGGTGGACACAAAGGGAAATGCTACCGAGTTCGCTCCTGGGGACGCGGGGAGGATCTATCCTCTTTGTCACCACATGGACTTACTACAGTCCAAAGCTTTCGACAAGTCCGTGGGCAGCAAGAAGAGGTATCGTCTACGCAAAGCATGGCACCGGGCAATCAAGAGAGTAACACATCTGGTGACGGACGTGAGGAACAAGACGGTGAAGCACCTTTGCAAGAACTACGACGTCGTCTTCCTCCCGAAGTTCAACACGAAAGACGTGGTCAACAGGGCGAAGCGGAACATTGGTAATGGTACGGCACGGGGGATGATGACATGATCTCACTACAAGTTTAAGGAGCTGCTAAAAACCACAGCGCTCCGCGAAGGTGTGAAGCTTGTCATCGTCACAGAGGAGTCTACGTCCAAGACCTGTTCGTGTTGTGGACGTCTACATCGCGCCCTGGGAAGGTCCAAGGTCTTCAGCTGTCAGTCGTGCGGGGTAGTCATGGACAGGGACGAGAACGGAGCTCGTAACATCTTGATCAAGAGCTGTGTCGAGAACCGCCTGACTCTTTCATGGAAGGAGTATGTTAAAAAAAAATGCGCCACTTTGGCTTTGGGGCCTTCGCCTGAGTAGTTTTTTGTTGGCTTTTCGAAACTACTTTGCAGCGGAAGCACGGTTGATACAGGTTCAGGGCGATGGCGGTCGGTCTAGAGTAACGGGGCTATCCTATTCGACATGGACCTACCTTATCTCACTGCGATATATTTCCCGAGAGGCTTGTAGAGGATGCTAGTGTTTCTGTGACAAAATTTGGGGTTCTGTGAGAACTGTAAGCTTTGTATTTGGCGTCAAGACCAGAAAGAGGATGCTCTACCAGAGACACTTTGGTTTCCGGCAGAAGCTCAGGCACAGAGCGAACACCCTAGGGAAGACGGTGATCGGGGGGTCGGAGTGGGGAACCACAAAGTGTTGTGGGGTCTGTGGTCTCCGCAACGATCCCGGATCATCCGAGGTTTACTCGTGTTCTGGTTGTTGTGTAAGAAACGTGGAAAGGGATTTGCATGGGGCGAGGAACTACTACATCAAGGAGAAGAGCCGTCTTCAGAATTGCGTAAACAAGGAGGTTTACAAGTTTGTGAAGTCGGAAGTACTCGGTGTGGTAGATGCCACCTTAGACTCGATCTGTTCGGGTACGGCAATAACTGGTTACGATCTCTCTACATGTCCGGAAGTGGTTACTTTCGAGAATATAGACTACCGTTTCGGTGGCTATACAGGTGGCCATATCTCGGCGAGTGCAGAGGTACAAGTTCGCATTGCGCGGGCGTCAAGACGCCGAAAACAGGCGAACAAGATCGACCTCGGACCAGTCAACGCCAATGATATGGGGATGGAGTGTAGACGCATCGTAGAACGCGTTTTCGTTTGAAGTTGGCGTCTTGTTTGAGAGTAGATGTGACAGATTTGCGTAGAATAGGGTAAGATGTTATCATGAACGGAGATGAAAGGGCTTTTCCAACACGGAGATGTAGCATGGATCAAAGCATTTGTTGGATTTCAGCTTTTACAAGCGGACATCAACGCAGTAGTATTTTAGCAAGCTTACGAACGCATATAGGATACCATCAGGATTATCATTGGTTTTATTTCAAGTTGAAGAGGAGATACTTTTACGATGTAAATGACAGTAGAAATAAGTCCTACATATGTTGTTGTACTTCGCATTGGTTTAATACTCATGTAGAGTATGAGACATTAAGTGAAAGTTTTCTGAGGTACATCTGCAATTGTCGGAAGGCAAAAATAATAAATGAATATAGACTCTTTTGACCTAAACGAGGCCTACCACTTTTCATTACTGTCAAGTTAGTAGAAAATTCTGAAAATGCGTCTGAACACATTTGACTCCGCTAGACTCTCGACAAAGATATGTCGGTCTCTCTGATCCTAGGAGCTGTGAAATACCACACTCCAATGTTAACCGAACCATTGACATCCCTGTCGATGAAGCCCACGGAGCAAGAAAGGTTCTTGTCCGTCTGGCTTTCACAGCGAAACACCCGAGACCCTTCCACTTGCTTAAGTGGAGTATCGCAACCGAAGCAGCACTTTGATGTGCGAAACTCATCGACCAGAACGACCGGACACAGCACCCAAAGCTCTGATCAATGCTTTCCTGGGACAAGGCCCCCTGGAACCATGGCCGAACTGGCCGTTCCGAAAAATACCACGCTCCTCTTTGCTCTAATCTTCTTCAGAAGTTCCTTCTTCCTCTGAAGAGAGATTTTCCGGCCCTCTTGTTTGGACGTTCGGCAATCTCTTGCTTATACGCGTCACTAAACGCGATGTCTCTCGCCATACCATCTACTGAACGTTGTCTTGCACGAAGCCTAGCGAACCTTTCGCGTCTACGCTCTTCGGACAGAAGCTCAGCTACTCTTGCTCTCAGCGTTGAGTAGGTTACGGCAGAGTAGGCAAAAGAAGAACCCGGATCCTTCAAAGAGACGGAATCAAAAGCTTTGACAGCTTCCCCATGCTCGACGTCCTGCTCCCTTCGTCTAGTCTCGGACTTTGCACTGAATCGAACAAGAGACTGGTATTTGTACTCCCGAGAAGACAATGACGATGGCGATCCCTTGAACGAAGCTGGATCGAAGACGTCGGGATCTTTCACGTCCGCTCGAACCGCTGCGTAGATAGAAACTTGTCCGGGATCGACACCGACCACTTCGATGTGATTTTCTTCAGATGAGAGACTGGACTTGGCGACTTTCGTCAGTTTCTTTGCTTTTCCAAAAACCCCCGACGAATGCTTGGAGACGGCGAACGGAGAAGGAGAAAGACCCGTGAATCCTTCCTTCACGAGCTCTTTTACACCTTTCGCAAGCGGATTGGACTTTTCGAGCGTCGTCAGACACACCTTATCCTGCAAACCGTCAGTGGTGATGGAGTTGACGAGCCACGGAACTTCGCAAGTAGGATCCCCTATATTTGCTTCATACAAGAGGTCGTCGGTAACCCACGGATCCTTCGTGAACAACCCAATCCCCTTCCGGAAGCGGGTCACTTGACGAAGGACCTTTTTCCCCTTACCGCGTTGAGCTTTCTTCCGGGTCCCAAGTGGTCTGCGCACCATTCTCTCGGTGTGAAAGTCGAAGGCCCCTGTCCACCACAGCCTTTGTTGTCGTCCGGCATTCTTGACCTCTTCTGTTCGTAAGTTAACATCGTTCTTGCCCACGGCGAGATCAAGGTTTCGAAGGAGAGGGCCTAGACTTCGTTCGTCGTATTTGACGAAGGCTCTCGTAAGAGAAAAATGCGGCATCAGGGAAAAAGGTTTGGGGGGGTTTCCGTGCCTGGTTCTCTCATGGTGATCCACATATCTTTCCGGGCGCTGGAGACATCTCGCAGTAGAATAGCCGAGACCTTGTCGGTCATGTTGATGCCTTCACCGAACCACACTGGGACCGGGAGCTCCCCCAAGAGGTGTCGCTGTTTCAGATAGCCTTCTTTCGTGTCAGACTTGTTGATAGTCGGCTGCCTCTCGTAAATCACGGCCCAGTACTCGCTTCTTCTTCTCGTCAGGTTGAAAGCTTTTTTCTCGAAACGTCGCTTCAATTTGTAGAACAGTGTTTAGCTTGGCCTTGACATTGTAGAAGAAATCCTCCCGCCCGGTCGGCTTCTTCACACTCGGTCTTCTGGCGGATGACTTTGGTGGCGCGTTTCCTTGTTCGGCACTGCTGTTTCCTGCGTGGGTTTTCTTTGGACGTTTTTTGCGCGGCTTCTTCGAGGGCTTCTCGAAGATTTTTGTGGTCGAAACGCCGAATGAAGGGGTTCAAAGAGAGTCCTGTATTGATCAAGAGGTCCTCGAGTACACCTTTCCACTCGCTGGGTAGCGTTCTCTTGTCCTTCCCCCTTTGTTTTGATGCGAAGACGTGTATTTCTGACAGAGTTCGTTCTTCCTGCTTTTGTCCAGCAGCCCTGTACAGCTGAGTCGCCGCCCCTGAAACGTTGGTCCAAAAGTACTTGTCGTCCAGAAACTCCCAGAGTCTTTTCTCGATCTCACACGCCAAGTGCTCGGTTGCTCTCTTTTCGAAGTTTCCAGCAATGTGTTTCTTGATCGAGGTGAGCATCTCTCCGCACAGTACGTCCCTGGAACGAAGGGGGAAAGATCGCACTTCCTTCAGCGTCTCTTTGTCCAACTTGTGCTTCTCGAAGTAGGCCTCCAGGCTAGGATGGTGTAGCATCTTTGCACGACTATGTAGTTCATTTCCAGAGATGTGAGACAATAGTAGTTGTAGAAACGTCCGGTTGACGATGAGCGGGTTCGAAGGGTCCTCTTCTGCAAGAAAGTTTAGACATACAGAGACGAGGTGACGAAGAATACCGAGAGATCTCGCGTCTTTGTCGATCTGTCCAAGCAGAACGTCCTTGCCGACAACGTCGTCTCGTACACAAGCATCAACGGACGTGGTGACACTCTTTACTCGTATTGAGTCGTCTTTGATCCCTCTCACTTCGGCAAACTGCTTGAGTTCATCTTTCGTTGCGACGCTTGTAGAGCCTTCGTCATTGTCGTCGTCTTCTTTGTTATCACCGTCATCACCAGCATTCTCCGTGGCCGAATCGTGTGCTTTTCGTTTCGGAGGTGTGCTGCAGCTGATGTTGTTTTCTTCGGACTCTATGCTGTTTTGTTGCAGGTCAATGAGTTGTGACGGGAAGGGGGAGCATTTTTCTTCCACTATTTACTGTAAATTCACACATGGCTTGGGTTCACCGGCGCATGTGATTGGTCACACAAAGAGGACCCGTGGGATGGTGAAGTTGATGGGGATGCATCTCTGTGGAACACGAGTTTGGAGGTAGTTGGTAGTTGCCGGTTACATGATGCCGACCACACTTACTTGATTCCGGCGCTGGTGCGCTGACTGACCTGTATTTCGCGCGACTAGAAACTTTCTCACGTTACGCAGGATACTTGTGACGTACGCGTCAAGTGTGTAAATATACGATGGCTCCTTTATCTTTTTTTGCAACCTCAAAGTGATCGTGTCAAGCAAGACTCTAGCCTCTACCTCCTGGATGTACAGAGCGGGTGTTCTTGCGTGAGCTTTCTCAAGCTTGAGATTTGATTTCAACCGTTTGAAAGACTCCTCGACTCTCCACCTCGACGCATAGATGGCCTTGACGTCTCTCCGAGACAAAGACGGGTCGTTCGTTAGGCAAACATACGTTTTGCCGTTGATGAAATATTTCATGAGACTAGCCCTGAAGCCAAGCAGAAGACATGTTGCTTCTGTTTTCCACGAATTGAAGAAAGACCTCGTGCCCTTGAATGCACTTATCTTCAGCCGCCAAACTCCGAACGCCTATGAGTCGTGAACGCTGCGAACCAAGTCTTTGGAGTAATATCCTCTGTCAAACACCAGCGTGTCACCTTTTCTTTCGCTTCGGAGCATTGATACGGCCGCCTTCCTTTCATTAAAGTGTCTCGTGAGTTCGAAGTCCACACATACATGCTCTGGTTTTCACATCAACCATCGAAGAAAGCATGACGAGAGTTTTTTTTGCTGGACGCGGTACTGGCTTATCGTTTGTTCGGGTTTTCGCCGATGAAGGAAGGATTGACATGAACCTTCGATCCATCGATGGCAAAAACACGAGGTTCATGTGGTCCTCTGTGTAAGAAACGATTCACTTCCTTGAAAGCTCCCGTGGGAAGTTTTTTCCTGGCGAGATGAATTTCCTGTGTGTGACGAATAACAGGGTTTTCGCCTGATTGAGAGCGGAGTATACGATTGAGAGCGGGAGCCAAAAATATTGAAATTTCGGGGCCAGACGCCTCTTCTTGCCATTTCTTGGGAAGTAGGGGGCGGGCTCTTCCAAGAAGCGGCGCAAATGGAAGGTCTCATCAGCAGCGTCACGAGCATACGAGCATATGCGTGTCATCGCGATCGGATGCTGCAGCTAGGAGCTAGACAAGTTGCTAGATTTCCCCAGATTGGCTATTCCTGCCTCAAACTGTTTCAGGGCGATTTGATCGCGCGCGGTGAGCTCTGCTGCAGATTCTGCTCCCCGCTGTAGCTCCACAACGAGAGACGCCCACAGGATGACCAGGGTATCGGCTTGTAGCTACGGGCTAGGCCTTCAATTCAAGCCACGCAGCAAGCTCCACCTCTCAGCGGTAGTCCAGGTACAGCGCATCGCGCAATCTCGCTCTCAATCAGAAACTTCGCTCTCAATCACACGAAAACCTTGTTGAATATTGTTCATCGCCCATCCTCAGAATATGACCAACACCCCTTCCTTGAATACAACACCTGATCAGCGTGTAGAAAGTGGACGATGTGTCCATTTTTCGGCGTCGCTGTATCCATCGTTCGTCACATTTCTTGAAGGCGTCGTATATTTCATGGTGTGTCGAGTAAGTCATTTTTCATGTTGTCGTATGAAAATATATTAACTTTCCAAATGCTTAACTTTACACTAATGACCACTTTTGGATGTTTCTTTTTCATTTCTTACGAGTAAATTAATAACTGGTGTAAAGCAGGTTTTCTCAAAACTTGGAGATTGGATTCGGTGTCCGACCACGACATCGACGAATACGCTACCATTATCGAGAGATGCTTGAAGAAGGAGAGTTGAGTTGAGTAATATTTGGTATCCTGTAATTATGACTCGCACAAATGTTTCCATGCGTTGGTCGCATTTTAGGTGGTTTCATCGCACAATACATCGGCGTCCTCGCTAGCATCAGGGTCTTTGCGTCACCTGGAGGTACTATCTTCTCATGGACACAGACTGCGATCGCGATCGCGGCAATGCTGCACACCCCCGATACACATTGGCCCGAGCGCGTCGGGCACATCGCGAGCAGCACGTTACCCTACATCCCTTTTCGCTTCAGGAAGTTTCCGGTACCATTGCTGTTAGCTGTTTGCGCAAGCAATTCTCTGGGTCAATTGTTTGGGTACGTCTCAATGAAGCACTTCTATCCGGTGCTATCATCCGAGGAAGTTGGAACGCTTAGATTCCTTGCAATATTTGTTGCTTTTCCGGTGATTATCGCGAGTATCGTCGCGAGCATTCCCGGGAGCCTTGCGTTTTACTTCCTAGGTACGGACGTCGAACTGTCTTCAGTGGTCGTAAACTACACACTTGGACACATTTCAGGAACGATAACACTACTGTACCCTCTACTGATCGTGCCGACCCTATGGAAAACCCGACCTCGATCGCCCAACGCGCTGGTTTGCGGCATCAGCGCTTTCCTCGGAATCACATCTATGTGTCCCGTTTCTAACTATCACCTCTTGGGTTTGGCGTCGATCGTCGGAATAATGTATGCTCTGCTTATTGGAGTCAGTGCATATGTTGATCAGTTCCAAGCAAGTCTCGTCCAGCTTGCGTTCACGGGGTCAATCTTAGGGTTCACGGCGGCTGGCCGAGGACCTTTTGTGCATGTCACCAAGGGTGGTGAAGCAGAAGAGGTGTTGATAGGTAGTACTCAGATGGGAATCGCGGCGCTGTCGGCCTTGAACGCATTCGTGGTCATTCTGGTATCACAGCTCCGCGATCTACAGAAGTTCGAGAGGATCTCTCGTTGTCAAGCGGAAGAGCTGGCTGAGAGGCAGACCCTTGACCTATACCGGATCGGGCACGATATGAAAAACAATGCAACTTTAATTCAGACAATATGCGAGGTCGGTGAGACCGATGCGGACAACAGAATTCTGGAAACTGTGAAGTCCGTCAACATTCTTGGCAACGTGCTAGTGTCTGACATGGTCGACATGGTCAACGGCAAGCAAGTACACCGTGTTGTCCCCAAAGAAGATGTCGACATCGCAGAGCTGTTGAATGTGTATTCCATGGTTGGTACGGGATTGCTGCTGTTGGAGGGAAAGGACAAAGACATCACAGTGGGCGTGAGAATCGACGACGACGGCGAAAACTTCGGAGCACAGACCAACAGGGAGCGCCTCCATAAAATCGTGTGTAACTTGCTGAGCAATGCCGTCAAGTACACACAGAGCGGGAAAATCGTTCTGGGCGCCGTTGCGCTTCGGAAAACACCGTGGAGATTCGCGTCATGGACAGTGGCATTGGTCTAAGCGAGGCCGACGTTTGCAAAGTTTTTGATCTCTTTTTCAGGAGCGGAAGAGCATCACAGATCAATTCGGGAACTGGCCTTGGTTTGTCCAACGTGGAAAAAAAATTGTGATGCGATAGACGCGAAGGTAGAAGTTTCGAGTCCCGGCGAGGGTAAAGGAAGCACGTTCACGCTTTTTTTGCCACGAAAACGTCGCAGCATCGTCTCCAGACAAAAGCAGGTATCGACGCGATTTTCGTTTCGCGTTCTTGCGATGGACGATTCAGTCCTGATCCTGAGACCATTGTCGAAGTACTTGAGTTCGCTTGGTTGCGAGGTTGTGAATGCGTGTTCGGCCGAAGAGTCTCGTGCTCGTCCATGAAAGTTCGATGTGGTGATCACCGACAGCTTCATCGGAGACGAGACGGGAATAGATTTTTTTTGCAGCGTGCGGAGAGGTGGGGTGATGGGATTGCCAAGAGATTTGCCATCCATTCTTTGCAGCGGTGATAGTCACGAGTCCGGCGATCCCAGAACTCTTTCGATCACAAAACCTTTCTCGGTGGCCGACATTTGTCATGCTCTCAATATTTTTGCGTCGTCGTCGGAAGTTTAGTTGCGGAAACACAGAGAATTTTTTTTTTTTTCATAAACTATAAATGCTTTATTGCCTCCTCTATTTGCTCTGTCGCCGAATGTACCACGACCTGTTCGTGGCCGATCGGAAACCAACTTGTCAATCCCACACTCATCCGCAGCGCGACGAGTTCAAGGACGTCTATAAAGACATCCCCGTGCTTCACGACATTCAACTGTAAATTTTGATTCGTGAGACACGCATAAAACAACTTTTAAAAAAAAGCCATGCACCCCGAGATCGAGGATCGCCTGACTTCCATGTCGCGCCACGGCGACAGCCCGCACCTCCTCTTCCACGGCCCACGAGAATCGGGCAAGATGACGCTAGTTAGACACCTTTTAAAGAAATTGTATGGTCCAGGCGTAAACAGGGTGACTACCGAAAAACGCGTGGTGGAGACAGCCTCGTCAAAGCATACGATCGAGATCGACGTTCGCGTATCCAACCACCACATCGAGATGGAACCGAGCGACGCCGGCGCCAACGACACGTGTGTGGTGCAGCACGCCATCAAGGAGATGGCCAACAACGGGTCCATCGCCGCCGTCTTCAAAAACTGTGACGTGACGCACAAGACGATCGTGTTGCGCGGCGCCGCCAATTTAAGCAAGCAGGCGCACGCGGGTCTGCGAAGGATGATGGAGAAGTTCACCGCCTCGTGTCGATTGGTGTTGGTGTCGACCTTTGCCTCGAGAGTCATCGAGCCTCTGCGGTCGCGGTGCGTGTTGATACGTGTGCCACTTCCTAGCGCAGAGAATTTAGCGGAGGAGATTGACATCGATGACAAGGCGTTGGTTTCGCAAATTGTGGAAAGCTGGGGGAGGTCCATTTCTCGAGCGATGTTCATGGCCAAGGCGGGCAGAGCCGACACGATGGTGTGGGCCAAGTACATCGAATCCATATGCACGGGTGTTTTTCTGGAGCAGAGCCCGCGAAAGCTGATTGATGTCAGGGATAGCTTAAATGAGCTCTTGGTAGCAGGAGTACCGGCGTCTGTTGTGCTGAAAACGCTAATGCAAGGGATGATCTCCCATAAAAATCTGAAGGGAGAGGATGGTGTCAAGCGTGAGATTGTCGAGTGGGCCGCGGTCAACGAGCATCGTCGTATCTGTGTCGGGTCGAAAGATATTTTGCACTTAAAGGCATACATTGCTTCATTCATGGACCTGTACAAGAAGCATACCGTCAATATGTTCGTTTCAAATGTTGGTTAGAACTCATGGCGTGCGATACTCTTGGGGAGAGGCAGTAGGCGGCTAACGCGGCCAAGCCGGGCAAGAAAGCTTTTAGGCCGGTATTTCCGGAAGAGATTGCTGGGTTGTTGTTGTTGTTGTCGTCACATTAAACCGCATGTCAGTTGCTAAATGCCAAAATCTAGCAAAGACTCTCAGCCTGTGGTCACGAAAGTGCTAGAGCTATCTGAGGATCTAAAGAACACGCACACATATAACGAGAAAAAGGTATCCAAGAGCCCGAAGAGGTACACCTAAAAATCCCTGCAGCACCGTATGCGTGCCCAAAAACTGAACTGCAGCACGTCCGTCCCACCGTTCGACTACAGTAGCATCACCCCCTCCCTGTCCCACTCTATACCAAAACGGAAGATTCCCGACTACAGCATACTGCTGTCTGAAGTGCTGTCTGTACAAAAACACCATGGTAGGCATGGAACAAGAAGCTGGCGGGGCACAAAGCTGCTGTCTGAAGTGCTGTCAGAATGTGTCTGCGGACGTACAGTGAAAAAGAACAACCAACCAAAGCCATGATTGCAATGGACAATCACCCGAATCTCTCCCGATCGTCTGCGTTAGGCACGCAGTGAAAATATCGACAATAGCTAAGAATCGTTCCACATTGAAGGGGTCTTCCACGATCAGGCACAAAACCAAGGCACCCGGGTTAGCCACGCCATCTCTGACGGGTCTCTCTACAAAACTGGTGACGACGTCATCACACAAAACCAACACGGAAAGTCAGGAAAAGA